CTGCCGTGCACCTAACTGACAGTTCCTGCCAATGCTCTGTTTCATCCTAAAATCCGCATTTGTGCCTCTCAGCTGGGACAGACTTCGCCTGGGACGTTGATTTTTTATTATTTTTTTTATTTTTGGTGACTTGTCCTGGGAAGAAGGGAAGGGGGTTAAGGGGGGGTGGTGGTGGTGGTGGTGGTGGTGGTCTCCTCCATCCGAAGGACCACAGAGGATTATTACGTCCTTCTCGAAGAGTGGATATGGAGCTCTAACTAAAGTAAAAAGAAAAGAAAAAAACAAAAACCAGCAGAGATGACCAGACGCTGAACTGCAGTGCTGCCAGAATAAGATAAACAGAAAAAGCCTCCTAGCTACAACTTTTAGAGGAGGAGGAGGAGGAGGAGGGAGGGGGTGCTGGCAAGTTTGACTTGGAAATGGTACGTTTAACAAATCAATTTCATCATTTGTTTTGTTCCAGCGAAGAGCCCCTTGTGCTGTGTTGTGTTGTGTGCATGTGTCAGACTCTTAGACTGTGGTGAACTCAGAAAAGTGTAAACGAGAGCCTTGCAGGAGGTGCTGAAGCCGCTAAAACCTCATTTCTGTCCTTTTTTGTATGTGTTTTGCTGCTGGTTGTGGACGAGGCTGAAGTTTGGTTTCATATTCGCCAGCTTTGACACTGTTCGCCAGCTTGTGTTTCGAAATTTCTCGTTCCACCTTAAATGGTGCAGCCGTTACATTGTGGCGCCTGAAGCTGAGCATGTAACTGCTGCACCATTTAAGGTGGAACGGCGAAATTCGAACGCGAAGCTGGCGAACAGTGTCCCGCAGTGAAAGTTAACTTCTTTGCTAGCTAACATGAGGAAAGAAGGAAAAACAGAGCGAAAAGGGGGAAAAGCAGCGAATACGTGTATAACCACGATACCACTAGGGTCAACGCTAAACCTGAAATCTTGCAACAAAATCCCCCGCCGGCGCCGAGTTTTGCTTCGGCAGGAAAACGGCCGCAGGCTCGCCGGCATGAATTTCAACCACCAGGCCGACAGAGGCGCTCCCTCGCCGGGGAGTTGCCTTAGCGACAGCGCGGTAGCCTCCCGAGCTCCCGCAGCCGGAGCTAGCCACACACGCTGTTAGCGTTGATGTTGTCAGTGCCCTGCTTTGAGCTTCTGAGTGACATTAATTCGTCTGTTTCGTGAATAAAATAACCCTAAATCATTAGAAAACTCCCCTAAAAGTGGCTTGTTTATGTTTATGTTGTAGGCTGATGGTGAAATCTAAAACTCCCTTTAGCCTGAAGCTGAACAGCAGAACTCTTCAGTAGAGTTTATGCATTTTTAACCACTTTTGCTCTGCCTGCCAGCTGATTTTACAGCTGCTTTAGGCCTGTTTTTTGTGTCTCAGTGGAGACTTAAGCTCTGCAAGGACATTTTCAGTTTATGTTCAGGAAGTGCATGTCTTCCTCCTCCATCAGCTTATAAATTAATATATTTTATTATTGCCTTGCTGGCAGCTGTGAGGAATTTATTGAGGCCCTTCATATTTTGTGAGTTTTTTTTTTTGCTTTCAGGGATTATTTATTATAGGCTCTGCTTTTTTGTATTGGCTGAAAGTTGGCATATACAGTATTTGAGAGAACTACGTTACAGATTTTTTAAAATAAAGAGGAGCTGCAAGGTTTATTCATTGCATTTTGTTTGCATGCGAACGGAGGGAATTTGCAGTTTCACACAAGAATCTAAAAGGAAATTTGGATATGAAATGCCTTCAAGTAAAAGAGGCGGCATGGTTTGCACTTTACTGCATGAGTATAAATTTAAATGAAGTATTAGCTTTGACTACCGAGCAGGTGTTATTCTACTCTGTCACTTCATATGAGCTGGTAGGCCCCGTTTTCCCCGTCTGAACTCAGAAAAGTTCAACTTTGAATCCTAGGATTGCGGAGGAAAGGAAAGGAAAGTGTTTTCTGAGCCTTCGCAGCCTTTATTTCTACTTCTGATTTCTCTACATATGCTGCTGTGCTCCTTAAAGGATGAATAAAATCACTTTACAGATTGTACCACCATAGACATTATTGTGGATAAATAATTCACGTTCACAAGCTGTTCAAGGTGTTTTGCAGCAGGTCTCGGGGAGCCTGTCCCATTGGATTTAGCTGTAGCCTTTATTGCTAAGTGGCCTATAAAAGTTGGAAAACTCTGTAGCACTTGTCTCATTATATGGAGCGCAGTCTGATTCGTTAACTCGCTGCTGGTTCTTCATCATCACTCACAGCAGACTCTACAGTGTTGAGTTAACATTGAGACTACATGTTGAATTCCCACCTATGGTGTTTTATTAAGTCCAGCTATACACAAATTAACCCTCACTCACTTTTACAAGCCGTTTAGCTTGGTCTGAGTTGCGCTCTGGATTGGATCTAACCCTAGGGTGCAAGTCGGGGTACACCCAGCATAAGGCGCCAGTGCATTGCTGAAAAATGAACACTGGGTTAATTCAACACTGCAGTTTCAGCACTTGGTTAATTCAACACTGTAAAAGTTGTACAATTTAATTAAACACTGTAGTCAGTATAACACTAATTTTGTGGGTGATAGTTCAATGCAATAACTGTATGAGTTAATACAAACGCTATAAGAGTTAACCCAGCACTCTTAAAGTTTAGTAATCACTTTAAGTGTTAATCTAGCAACGTAAAAGTTATTAGCTGTGCCACTGCAGAAAGCAGGAGCTATTCAAGACTTTAAGCACTGTAAGATTTAATCTAACACTGTGAAGGTTAATCTAGTCTAACATTGTAAGTGATCAGTCACTGCAAAAGTTTATTCAGCATGCTGAGTGTTAATCCAACACTGCAATTGCATTTCAGCGCATTAAGAGATAATCTGACACTGTCGTTATCTGTTAACTGTCACTAACAGTTAATGGGACTTCAAAAGTCAGAGATATTAACAGTGCAAAATACATACAGCATTGCAAGAGTTGATTAATCAATAATGTTAATGACAGTAAAGGTTAATAATCGTAAGAGTTCATCACTGGTAGAGTTAATCTTATGTTGTAGGAGTTAATCCAGTGCGAGTTAAAGAGAGTTAATTCAGCACTGTAAAAGTTGATTAATCTCTATAAGGGTTAACCCAACACAATGAGAGTTAATTCAGCACTATAAAGAAGATTAATCACTGTAGGAGTTAATCCAACACTGTGAAAGTTAACCAAACACAGTGAGAGTTTATTCAGCACTTTAAAAGTAGATTGATCACTGTAAGAGGTAATCCAACACTGTGAGAGTTATCCCAACACAGTTAAGAGTTAATTGAGCACTGTAAAAGTAGATTAATCACTGTAATCCAACATGGAGAGTTTAACCAACACATTGAGAATCAAATCAGCACTGTAAAAGTAGATTAATCACTGTAACAGTTAATCCAACACTGTGAGAGTTAACCCAACACAGTGAGTGTTAATTCAGCACTGTAAACGTAGATTAATCACTTTAAGAGTTAACCCAACACAGTGAGTGTTAATTCAGCACTGTAAACGTAGATTAATCACTTTAAGAGTTAACCCAACACAGTTAGAGTTAATTCAGGACTGTAAAAGTAAGTTAGTTACTGTAACAGTTAATCCAACACTATGAGACTCAACCCAAAACAGTGAGAGTTAATTTAGCACTGTAAAAGTAGATTAATCACTGTGAGAGTTAACCCAACACAGTTAGAGTTAATTTAGCATTGTAAAAGTAGATTAATCACTGTGAGTTAACCCAACACAGTGAGAGTTAATTTAACACTGTAAAAGTAGATTAATCACTGTGAGAGTTAACCCAACATAGTAAGAGTTAACCCAACACAGTTAGAGTTAATTCAGCACTGTAAAAGTAGATTAATCACTGTGAGAGTTAACCCAACACAGTTAGAGTTAATTGAGCACTGTAAAAGTAGATTAATCACTGTGAGAGTTAACCCAACACAGTTAGAGTTAATTCAGCACTGTAAAAGTAGATTAATTACTGTAACAGTTAATCCAACACTGTGAGAGTTAACCCAACACAGTGAGAGTTAATTCAGCACTGTAAAAGTAGATTAATTACTGTAACAGTTAATCCAACACAGTGAGAGTTAACCCAACACAGTGAGAGTTAATTCAGCACTGTAAAAGTAGATGAATTACTGTAACGGTTAATCCAACACTGTGAGAGTTAACCCAACACAGTGAGAGTTAATTTAGCACTGTAAAAGTAGATTAGTAACTGTAAGAGTTAATCCAACACAGTTAGAGTTAATTTAACACTGTAAAAGTAGATTAATCACTGTAAGAGTTAATCCAGCACAGTAAGAGTTAATTCAGCACTGTAAAAGTAGATTAGTCACTGTAAGAGTTAATGCAGCACTGTGTACGAGTAAATCCAAAACTGAGTAATCCAACAGTGTAAAAAGTTAATTACTCACTGCAAAAGTTATTTAATTACTGCAGCGCTTAAACCCTGTGAGAGTTAATCCAGCACGGCGGGAGTTAAACGGTCTTCACCGTTTGAGTGAACGCATCGCTGTAAGAGTTAATCCTGCTCTGGATTCTGCTCTCGGTTGATAATAATTTGGCCTGAATGGGCGCTGTGGGTGACGCAACGTCCGCCGCGTTGTGCCTCCGCGCGCCGCTCGGACTCTCAGTGCTGCTCCGCCACTACAGACGGTGCCCGCGCGCTCCAGCCGGGACAGCGAGAGCGAGCGCGAGTCAGAGAACGTGCTAGAACGAGCGCGCCGCGCGTGTCTTTCTGTCTGAACGGAGACTCGTTTATTTCCATACTTTTTCTCTGTGTGTGTTTTTTGTTTAAACCGTAATGCAGCAGAGCGGAGAGGCAGCCTCGTGAACGCGCGCGCGCGTGGATAAAGCGAGAGTTCCTGCTTCCTTAACTTCTGCGCGCGCTGTTTTTTTTTTCTGGGATGGGCTATTTTCATAACGTCATTTCATTCCTCCCTCTTTTTCATTTTCTTCTTCTTTGATTCTCTCCCCCCCTCCTCCCCCTCCTCCTCCTCCTCCTCCTCCTCCACCCTCCCTCCATTTCCTAAATGGAAGTGAGCGCTCTCCGCGCGCTCTCGCTGCTCCTCAGCCCGCCTGCACGCGCTTACGTTCCCGTCGCCTTTCTCACCGTTTCTGCTCGCGCCGAGTGGAAGTGAGAGAGAGAGACAGAGAGACACACAGAAAGAGAGAGAGGGAGAGGAGAGAGAGAGAGAGAGAGAGGTAAGGGTCCTGCTGGAGGCCCTGAAGCTTCTTCTGCTGCTGCTGCTGCTGCTGCTGGAGTGATGATGAAGATGATGACGGCGATGAAGGTGGTGATGAGGATGATGATGAAGATTAACTGTGAAAAATGCTCCACTGACTGATCCGCTCTCCGCTCAAGCCCGCTCCGTATTTTTTTGCAACAATGATGTATTCTCCTCTCTGTCTGACTCAGGTAAACACCTTGTTTGTTTGTTTGTTTGTTTGCTTGTTTTTTTTTGTTTGTTTGTTTGGTCACACAGCCTGTGCTGGGAGACTGAGGGCAGTATAGAAAAGGGCGGGCAGAAAAAAAAGAGAATGTGCTGCCTCGGTCCACAGGCTGAGCTGGAAAAGAATCCTCTGGTCCCTAACAGAGCCGAGCGTTCTGCTACGTTTCAGCTCTTATTGTGCTTTTGTATCTGAAAAGTTTCTTGCGGTTGCAGCGTTGTGGTGTGACTGCGTTGTAAACTCCAGCAAACTTCTAAAGGCACTTCGTTCATGCGTTTAATATCAGATCAGACGACTGCTGCGTGTTTATATGTGCTGCATACGGTGCTCATAACAGAAAGAGAAGAAAGTTATAATGAGCGGCACAAGCCGAACACTCTCCTTTCACTCTCTGTTCACTCTCTGTTCATTGCAAAAGCTTTGAAAACACATTTAACTCTACTGTCTATCATTATGTAAGCAATATTCTATATATTGTCCGCGATGTGGCTGTAACTGTATGCTTGCTAATTTGCTGCGAAGCTTGGCAGGCCGTCCCGCTCCCTTTTCGTGTCACACAAGGACAGTGTAGGCTAGTAGAGGAGGTAATGTGTAATCTTCTGGGGCTTTTTTTTTTTTTGTTGGTGGAACAACACTGACCTATTTTCTTTATTATGGAGGCACGAAATACTTGATAATTCACATCCGCTGCTTTAGATTGTGCAACACGTGTTTTCTCAGTTAGGAAAAGTTTACAAAGTTTTTTTATTTAATATGTTCTACATCTGTGAATAAGAGTCTAATGCAGTTGTGCACATGTGTTCAGAATTTTGCTTGCATATATAATCAGAAAGCGCACATATTAGACTCCAGGGAAGCTGCTGCTGTTGTGGCCATGGTGAAAGTGGCTTTATATTTGAGAACTTTTTTTTTTGGGGCTGTTCAGGTTTTTAAGGTCAGTTTGTTTCTAGGGTTAGTGTTTTTTTATTGACCTGGGATTTTAAATAGTTGTGCTCTGTCTCCAGTGACCTTTGTTTTCATGTGTGCAGTTTTGCCAGGTTGGTTTAAATTAGAGGCCGCTGGATTTGGTATGAATAGCAGAATTAATAATTACTGAAACGAGGTCTGAGTTTGAAGATCTCAGTCTGGTTTTTTTTTAAACCACGCTGGTTTAATGTAAAATGACTTAATGCAGGACTTTCCGTCAGCCCGAGTAACGTGAGGTTTGCAGTTATTCTGGCTGTGTTTGTTGTGCCGTGCTTTAATCTTGTTGCTCGTCTGCTTTTCCACCACGTTTCTAGTTTTACGACATACTTACCTGGAATGCACTGGATAATTAGGCCGCACTGCAGATGAGACGCACTCTGATATCGTCTGAAAATCAATAATCAACACCACTGATTCGGGGCTCGTTGTGTTTATTTATTTATTTATTTATTTATTTATTTATTTTATTTATTTTTAAGCTGGTCATATTTTTAGGTCATTGCCAACTCGGTGCAAATTACAGTTGGCCGTGTGGTGAGGACTTGGAGTCGGCAGTCAAGCTGCACTGCACTCTACTTTTTTCCAGTGTTTTCAGATGCATACCAGCATTTATGTAGTAGTCAAGCATAAGCATATTAAAATCTTCGGTCTCGGGGCTGGTTTACCGCTTTTGCATAATCTGAAAGCCAGCCTCTTCATTGTGTGAAAAAATCATGAATTATGGACCAACTCAAATGGAATGAAATATTTTTCATTGACTGCTGTTGAAAATTACTTATGTTTTTTTTCCTTCTCCTGTAAAATTACTGTTTGGAGATACAGGACATTTCTGTATATATACAGAAATTATATGCATATTACCTTTTTTTTTTTTGGTGGAGGCCATAGCTCACCTTGGTTTCAACTTTGTACACCGTAAAATATAATTTCAGCTTGAAAAAGTAAATAACCTAGTATACTATGTGTGATTATGTTGCAGTTAATAGCGCAGATCACTGTTGTGTTGACTCACTGTTTGAGGTTAAATGAGCTCCAAAGTTTAAAGCAGCTATGCTACTCACTTTTTTTAAGCAAAAACAACTATTTTAACAGTGTGTAGGAATGTGCACTGTATGTCGCTTGTATTTAATGTTCTGCATGAGTTTTTTAAGTAGCAGTGCACTGATTTGGGACTTGTCTGCTGATATTTTTAATGTACAGATCTGCCAGTGCTGATACATTAACATTTACATTTACAGTGTAGAAGTTAGCATTACAAAGAAATATAACATTTAATAAACTGACTAAAATGCAGACGTTTTAATGCATCACCTAAACGTTCAGCTCTTCCTACAATAAAGTACAATAAACACATCATCAAATATGGGTTCGAAATATCGGTCAGATGTGCACGTCCGTCTAATGCTGATTTTATTTTAAAAATGAATATTTCCCAGTGCAGATATGCTTCTGATATCGTCGTCCCTATTTTGTCCCTATTTTATAATTCAGCCGTTCTTAGATTTCATGCATTTTCAATACTATTAAAAAATAAAAAATAATAATAAAAAAAAAGTCCATACTATGTTTCACAATTTCAGGCTTATGTGCAGTGTGATAATGCATGTGCAGTATATCTGTGTATTCTGTGTGCTGTAGTGTCTGTTGCAGGCTGTAGGTAGTGTTGCAGGTTGGAGGCCTGCAGGCTTCTGCTTTGTTTCTGTGAACAGAAGCACACTGACTGGCCTGGTGTGTGTTTACGGTGTGGCAGTGTGTGTGTGTGTCGAGGAGTCTCCTGACGTGCCCCTAATGTGTGAGTGTGAGAGAGTGAGAGAGAGAGAGAGGCGGTCGGAGCGTAGTCTGCCAACCTGAAGGGCCGTGATCCTCGCGCTTCCAGCCGTGCCTGAGCGCTGCACCGACACACTGCAACAAAAAACTGACTCACTGCAGTTTTATGAGTTTTTTTTTTTTTAAAGTTTATTCTGTTACACAGTGAGTTTGGCTCTAACTGTTTAAGTGTTAAGGTGCTGCTATCAATGTTTTTTTATTGTAGTTCAGGCGACTACGGTTTAGTTTTGTATTTTAACGTGGAGGCATTTTTAACATAGTTAAATAGATTTGTAGTGCACTCTGTATTTTAATAAAATCCAAAGGGAGTATTTTATCCTCCTGATTTTGTGCTGGGTTGTAGTGCAAGACTAAATTGTGTGGAAAAAAAAATGAACACAAATTTGTAACACATGGATCTGAATAACAGATCGTTGATTACAGTCATATGCCAAAATTTGGATTTTCTAAGTGAAAATAAGTTAAAATATCCTCGACAGGGAACAGACTTAAATATGGCATGTTCCTACAAATGTGCACAGGTTCTATGTGTTTGCTGAATTTGAACATTTTGGGACTTTTGCAGAGGCCACATTTTAATTTTCTTCCCCCAGATATGTTAAATGCAGCAAATAAACAGTGATTGTGTATTAAAATGTGCAGAAATGTGTTCACTTATTTAAACTTAGAAAATCAATATAAATATGTCGTTTGACCAGGGGCGCCCAAACTTTTGCACATGGCTGTGCAGAAAAAAAAGAAATTGAAATATACATAATATTTCTATTTATTCTAATATTGCTTTTCCTGAACAAATAAATATACACACTGTCCAATTACTGTTTAAATATAATCTTCTCTGGTACCTAAAACATTTGCACAGTACTGTATATATTATAATTTAATAATAACATTATGCAGTGGTGGTGAAATTAAACCCTGGTTGCTTCAGGGCGTTCGCCGCTTCAGTGCTAAACAACTTTACAATAATATTGTTTTAAAATTCGATGCAGATATTTTGAGCAGTTGTTGCTGTGCTGAACTGTGGAACTCTGTAACTACAAGCCAGATGTTTGTCACAGAGCTAATAAGCCAAGCTGCGGTTAATTATCCCTTAAAAATGAGCGTCAGAGATGTACAGAGCTTAAACCGCGTTCACGCAGATTTCCGGACGTTTTTCTTGGTGTGTCCTCAGTCACAGTTACTTCTCGACGGCACGGTTTGAGAGTTTTGGGCCTTGTGCAGGGAGCTGGGACGCACCCTGTTTGGAGTGAGTTTGCCAACTCTCTGCAGTGCTATCTGTGGGAGATTTTGGAAGAGTTTGAATTCCCCTGTGCTGGCAGCGCGCTGTCCTGCCCCCGTTTCTCATCGATTCATTCCGTTAGTGCCGCAATTAGTCCCCTGCAGCAGAGGAGAGGAGAGAGGGAGCGGACTCTGGGCTTTGCATAACCGGACTCTGGCTGCCAAAAGTATTTTAACATCAGACGGTGGGCTGATCACACTTTGGCATGGACTGGACGTTTGTGTTTTCCCTTTTTTTAAACATATTCCAACATTTTGAAACTGAACTATTTGCAATATGCACTGCTTTTCATCCGAGCGGCGATCTGTTTATACGTCTCTGTCATGATTTATTATAGCTGTTCACTAAAAACAGTTTTCAGATAAAAACCCAACTATTGTACAAACGCACGCAGGTGGGCTTATGACTTATTCTCAACAGGCATAGCTGTTTAACCCCTTTAACTGAAAGCTTATTATTCAGAAACTACTAGGGTTGGGTGGCACAACAGTGTCCCACAGTGTTTGAAAATTAAGACAGTAGGCGTGAACAGCATGACAGTATTTATTGTTATTATATGTAATTCGCATCACATACTTTTCTGAGCCTGTTGTGTGTTTTATCACCACTTAAAGAAAACTGAGTAACTGCATGTTTCATTACAAAGGGGGCATAATTAGTCCTGTTTGACTGGATTTAGTGCGGCGCGGTGCGAGAAACTTTGAGTAAAAGTATTATATTGCGTTCATTGTTTTCAGAAGTATTTTTTAATGGGGCTTTTTTTCCAGTTCTAACTTATCAAACCTCAGCAGAAATAAGTATTGTGATACATTGTGATTGTATGACATTATTTCATATTTTTGACATTCATTTCTGTTCAGAATCTATAAAATAAACTGGCATTTTCAGGTGAT